ATATCAATAAAGGTGCCTTTGTATGTAGTTAGTATTGCCAGGGATTAGGAAGGTATTGAATGTTAATTTTAAGTTGGGGTCAGCCCGATATCCTTTTCCTTCAGTTCATTCTAGTGGCCTGGTTGGTGGTACCTCTGAGCCTCCCAACTCAGAGGTTCTTGCCTATCCGGCTACTATGACCAGGTACTATGACCTTGGTATCTGTTTTCCTGAGCTAGCCTTTACAGTAAGGCCGTCGAAGATTCAGCTACCTTTCTACTCGGGTCTTTCCAAATGGACTTCTTGTTACCCAATTTCAACAGATTTACATGATCACAAGGACTTATCTAGTGTTTGCACTACCTGATTTGTTAGTTTGCATTCCTCTGTATAATGCCATACTTACACAGATGCCCCATGACCTGCCAGTCATGCTGGTGCAACTACCATTACAGGTATCCCAACCTAATCGTTAGTAACAGTTGCTGTAATACAAATATTACATAGGTAATTATCTAAATTTTCATTATTGATGGGATTTGAACATCCAACCTACCACTTGAGGGGTTGACAACCTAACTACTTCACTAGGTTGCCACACACCTAACTTGGATTTTTATTAATAGTATGTTTTAGTTTTGTGATTGTATTATTACAACAGTTACAGAAGGTAATTATAGAAAGAATATATAACTAGCTACTTATATAACTTTAGCTATTGTCTAATTTAAGTAGTTTGTCTAAAGGTTTTATATTAGCTGCCATATCTAGAATCCACTTTTAAGTTCTCTATTCAAACATTTTGGTTTCTGTATCCACCTACCTATCTATTTTATTAACTGCTCTAGTTTTTATTAATGTATATTTATAATTATCATTAGGTCTTTAAAGCAGTTCACTTATATAAAAAACCTTTAACCTTGTACTAAACCTATCAGAACCTTCTATTACCCAATTCCAACTGTCCTGATATCATTATGGCTAAGACCAACATTTGTAGTTAGAATAATCCTTAAACTGCTATATCTTTGTAGAGTTCATACAACTTTAGTACTTCTTTTTACAACCTCATTAGTATCTTGTACATCTTTACAAATTCTCTTATATTACTAATTCAGTTAGCTTTGTATAATATAACTTCATACTTGGTTCAACCAATAGCCAGGTTGGTAGACCTTTTTATCTAGAATTCTTGTCTATACAGATCATCTGCTTCAGGTTTCTGTCTTTGGATTAAGATTTTTACAGATAATATCATCAAAAATCATACTACTTCTCTATTTAAAATTTCCAAACAGAACTTCTTATAGAGTATATACTTTCCAGATTTATTTGTATAACATTGCACACTTTCAAAGTAGTCTTAATACAACCAAAATTATAAAGTTACAACTCCAAACACTCCATACAAGTTGTCAGAATAGGACTATTTTTCAAATTTTCTACTGCTAATAAGATTTGAACTCTGGATCTACTGTTTAAAAAATAACAACCCAACTACTATACTAGGATTACTATTCTCTAATTGGAATTTTTTTATTTGTTTTCTAAATAAATTTAAATAGTTTTACTTGTATAATTTACTTATTTTACTTTTTTAATTTAAGTTTATTACAATAATTAAATAATATTTATTTGTTATACTTATTAATATTATTCTAAATTCTTTAAAAAAATATATATTTATTCTTATTAGTATTATTATTAGACCTTATAATTCTTTTATTTATTTCTAATTTTTATTTATTTGTTAAAAAAAGAATATAAAATATTATTTGTTTACTTTATTATTATATATTTTTGTATAATCTGATTTGATTAACTATACAAAATCTTTAATAATTTTTCAAAATTCTAAAAATTTTCAAAAAAAATTTAAAAAATTTCTTTTAATACTTTGTTTATTAGTTAAAGTAAAAACAAATTCTAATAAATTTTGTATTATTTCAGAAGAGTGTGATGACCTAGTAAAGTGAATAGATTGTTAACTCCTAAGTGGCAGGTCTAGAGTTCAAATCCCAGTGATAGTGAAAATTTGCAATTTTTTCTGTATTACAGTTAACTGTTTTCTGTGATTGGTTGGAATAAGACACCTGTAACTTATGTCATACCAGTACAGTCAGGGATTTTACCAAAAATGGACAGTATAGATCGCACCTTGTATAGTATAGAAATGTTGATCACATGATTCTAGATCATTTGGTTGTATGAAAATCACATGTAATTGACCAATCACATTTAACCACAACAAAATTTAAACCTTTTTATTTATTAACTAGAAGAAGTTAGTTTTCATTTACCTTTTTTATAATAGTTTATTGCAAGGGATAAAATGGGATTATTCAAAGTAGACATCTTATATTAGCTATTCGTATATCGTTTAATATCGAATAAATAAATAAAATATCAAAAGATCCTACGATGATAAAAAATGTTACACAGCCAATCAAATTCATGGAATAACACAAAGATCATTCTAGAATGTGATTTTCTAATTTAGTAAAATTCCTGACTGCAGTATGACTGAAAGGTTTAAGATATTCATGTAACATTATATGAAGGAACACAAACTGGTAATGGGTAGTATGAACCCAAGATAAGTTTATAAACAATGTAAATTATAGGAACCAGGTAGGAAGATGGAAGTCTACTTGAAAGACCTGAGTAGAAAGATAACCCAAACTTTCGATGGCGTTACTGTAAAGACTAGACCTATGAAATGGAACTAGAACTTATGAAACTAAGCAAAGAGCCGGCCTTTGAGAAAGGACCGAATGGAACCATCCAGGTTACCAGAATTTCTAAGTTTCAGAAGAAAAGGTTACATGCTAGCAAACATGTAAACCAAAGATGTATGATTATGGCCTGCCTTTCTGGACTATCTGGTTTGGAAGCTTGATGGAACTTGAATTGAATACCAAAATAGTAGGAATATGTTGTAAAATCAATACTGAGATTAGGATAAATTCTACAAGAACATAATGATTAAATAGTATGTCCTGACTGCCAGTGTTGATCTCAACTATAGTGATATCAGGTCAACTATAAGAATGGAATACAGAAGATTTTGGAAGGTTTAATACAAGATCAAAAGTTCCCTATGTTAGTGAACTACTTAAAAGACTTAGTGATCATGACATATTTGAACTAGTATTGACTAAGACATCTTGGTAGATGTAGGTAGGTAGGTGGATATGAGAACAGAATAGTTAAATAGAGAACTTACAAGTAGGTTTTAGATATGACAGCTAGTATAGAACCTTCAGGCGAACTACTTAAATTAAACAATAACTAAAGTTGTACAAGTGACTAGTTGTATACTCTTTCTATGGTTGCCTTCTGTGATTGTAATGCAACCATTAGCTGAATATACTATCAATAACATCCTGGGTCACAAGTACTCACCTTAATATTTAAAAAAAAAAAATTTTAAAATAAGTTTTTTAAAATAATTTTAACTATCTCTTATTTTTTTTGTTATCTATTTTTGGTAAAAAGAATTAGTAAAAAGAGTGTATATAATATAAATAACTTCATCTTTAATATTAAAAAAAAATATGATAAATTAAAAAAATAAAATAAAAAACAACTTAAATTATCAAGTTTAAGTGATTTATTATATAATACTAATAAACTAAAATATTTAAACACACCTCTCATTTAGTGTTTCAAATTGATAAAAATTTTACCAATCAACTAGTTGTCAACTATAGTTGCAACTAGAAGTTAAAACTAATTTTAATAATTTAGATTTATCATATAAATGTTGTGATATCTTAGAATTTATTAAAATTTAATTAGATAAATTTCTAAAATATCACAAAACTTATATAATAAACCCGAATTAAAACCTCTAGTTGCAACTAATCAACTTTTATATCATGTGATTAAATTTGTTAATTAGCCAATCAAATCAAAGAAATTAGAATGAGTTAGCCTAAACCAGGAACGATGATTTTCTGCGGTGACAAAATGCCAATTCCGTCCGTGATAAAAGATGATTCTGCAAAAATTCTGCGATTGGCCGGAATTACGTAAAGTCGGCCAGCATTATGATCCACAAATTCTGGCCGAATTAATATCAGCCGGCATTATGATGACTGTAGACCCTAAATCCAGGCCAAAATTTAAAAAATGATCTGAACCAATTCCGTGATTTTCTGCAAAATTCCGTGAACGCAGAAAATCATCGTCCCTGGCCTAGGGTTGTTAAATTACAGTAATTTTATGTAATTTTACGTAAGTTTGTGTAAGATTCTGTAAATTGAAATTTCATGTAATTGTAATTTTGAACACATGATATTTAGTTTCTGAGATCAAATTTTCGGCGATTTAGGTTTTACATTTCAAATCGTACATTCAAATCAATCGCGTGTAAAAGTTAACATGAAAATTGATTTTCTGTAACTTACGTAAAATTACATGTAATGTAAAATTGTAATTTAAGTAACACAACCCTACCCTGGCCTAAACAAACAGAATATTCCATAATTGAAACTATTTAATGATTTACTTGTTTAGTTGTTTTTAAAATTTTCCAAATCAACTAGTTGGAAAGTTGTCAACTAGTTGATTTTTCAACTAATGATTTGGATCACTACTTTCATCTAACTTCCGAATTACTTTGACAGCTTATAAAACGGTTCTGCCGATTTTGTGTAACATTTTGTGTCGATCATCTAAGGGGGTAAACTCAAAATCAAACTTGTCTCTTCGAAATCTCAAACTTAATATGGTTGTATTTCAGCGACGACGTAATGGAGACCTACAAACTACCGTCGATGTTTCACCAAAAACCGAACACTCTTTCGATGGCAAAATACACACAATTTTCAATAACAAGAACCTATTATTGTCTTCTCTAATATTATTCAGGCTATTTAATGCGTTTATAACAAAAACGTTCTTTAGTCCGGACGAATATTGGCAATCTGTCGAAGTTGCTCATTACATGGTTTTTGGATATCCGTTTAATTTCTTATTGGGACAAATGTATTTTATTTAATAAAAAAAATATTATTCTTAATGTAATTTAAACTTATGGCTACTTGACATGGGAATGGAAAAAACGGATAAGGAGTTTTGCACACCCTTTAATATTTGCAACGTTATATAAAGTGTTGGATTTAGTAGGGCTTGATGGCGGAACTTTATTTGTAACTACAAATTTTATTTAAGTGTTGCTTTTTCCTATACATGATAAAGAATAAATTGTTAATTATCTAATATGCAGATATACGCGCCAAGATTTTTACAAGCTGTTTTCGCTGCTATAAGTGACTTTTATTCTTATCATCTGGCTAGAAAGTTATTTACTGATTCATCTGCGAAATGGACTGTATGTATCATTAAATTCATGTGTTTTTTATTAAATATTTTGGTTAAATTAATCCTTTCCTTTACTCTCTGTATTTAGCTTTTTTGTTCTATAATATCTTGGTTTAACTTTTTTTGTTCGGTTCGCATGTTTTCGAATAGCATTGAGACAACCCTGACTATTGTAGCTTTGTCTTATTGGCCCTGGCCTTCATTGGCTACACCAAGAAATTGGAATGAGAGAGAAAGGTAAGAATAATAAACCGTGATTCATAAATTAATTTTTAGTTCCAATAAGATTACAATATTCGAAATTTTATTTAGAATGCTACGCGTTTCATTAAGTTTGGCCGCAATTTCTTGCATTTTTCGGCCGACTAATGTGATAATATGGGGGTTCCTAGGTGTCCACCTACTTTGGAAAATGCCAAAACATACTGTATCTATTGTCACGAATACTACAATAATCTTGTCTGTATACCTCATAACAATTTTATAATTTGGTTCTCAAATATTCGCTCATTATTTTATTTTATTTTTTCATTTAGCATTATTGCAGTTACAACAATGATAATGATAGATTATAAATTTTACGGAACATTTGTGTTTGTACCGCTCAACTTTTTCCATTTAAACATATTTGAATCAATTTCTTTATTTTATGGTACCCACCCATGGCATTGGTATTTTTCCCAGGGACTACCGGTTATATTAACTACCTTAATTCCGTTCACCATGATCGGAATATATTCTGCAAGAAAAAACTCTCATTATTGGAATCGCATCAAGCCCCTCTTACAATTATGTATTTGGGTTCTACTGTGTTATAGTATAATTGGCCATAAAGAATTTAGATTTATATACCCGTTACTACCTATTTTGGTAGTTATTTCTGGAATCGGTATTGACGAAATTTCCAACATGAAAAATTCTCATTTGGCGAACTCTTTCACATGTTCAAAAAAGTCTGCATGGTTAAACTTTTCCATAATATTTTTGGTAGTTACAAATGTTCCTATGGCATATTATGCTGCGACAATTCATCAAAGTGGTGTCGTAGAAGTTATGAATTATTTGAGAGATGAAGCTGATAAAGGGAATGTTAAAAATATTGGATTTTTGGCACCTTGCCACTCAACTCCATTTTATAGTAATTTGCATAGAAATTTAGAAATGTGGTTCTTAACTTGTGAACCTCTCTTGAAGTAAGTTAAAAACAAACCCCCCCCCCGAAAAGGAGAATTTTTTACTCATTATTTTATTTTTCATAAATCCAGTCATAATATCAATCTAGATGATTACTTAGATGAAGCAGATCAATTTTATAAAAACCCTCTTGATTTCATTTATGCTAATTTTGAGCGACCGACTTTTAACACTTTTAATAATTCATCCCCAAATAATTCATTACGAAAATGGCCAAGTCATTTAATAATTTTCGAGGTATTGTTGAAAGATATTGAGTCCGTCTTGAAACAATTGGAGTACGACGAGGTGAGCCTCAAAAAAATAAAAAAATATTTAACGCATCGTATTTACTTAATACTCTTATATTTGAACTTGTTTAAATTGGTCCCTGAAAGTGTGCAAGATTTTTTAATTCTCAATTTAATGATGATTCAAGAAGACAAGGTGACATTATTGTTCTTTGTAAAGCGGCTATTTAAGAAGTTAATTTCCTGGTTTTTATAACATTAAAATTATCTCTTAATCTGTAGAGCAGGCAAATTTGCCTGCTAACTGATTTAATATTTTTTACAATTAGATAAAAATTTTAAATATTGATTTTAATAATATATTTACTAATTAAAAAATAATTTTAAATATCTGTTTTATTAACTTTATTAAGAAATTTCTTCAAATTTATTAGAAATCTTTAAAGTAATAAGATTTTAAAGTTTTACTTTAAAAATTTTTATTATAAAATTTTTGTTCTAAAATTTTTTAAATTTTATATATTTTAAAGTTAAAAAAAATTTTTACTTCTAATACAAGTTTAAATTTTTACAAGTAAATTACAAAATTTGTAATAATTAAAGTTGTAATTCTTTAAAAGTTTTATCAAATTGCTTTAAGAATTATATTTCTAAAACTTAAATTGAAGAAGTTAATTTAAAAATACTGATAAAATTTTTGAATAAATTTTTTTGTAAAATTTGCTATTTTTAGCTTATATATAATATAAAATTTTTATCTTATAATATAAAAATAAATACTACTAAAATATTATCCTTATTTTTAAATATTTATATATAAAATTTTATTTAATAATTTTAAATTTTAAAAAAGTAGATCATTATTATATTTGGACTATTAAACAGACAAATTTGCCTGCTACAGTTTACAGATTAAGGGATAAAACAAACCTAGCAACTGGTTCTTTTTTAAACTTTATATATGTTGTACATCAAAATGGAGTTATTGCATGGGTGTTATTTTAAAAATCGTATCTTCTAAAAATAATATATCTGGTTTTAAAATAACACGAATCTATTATATAAGGTTGAGCTTACAGATTTTTTATTTGAAGAATTTAGATCGGCAAATATTTATTCAAATATTCAACAAATGACTAATATTGTTTGGTAAGTACTATTTATTCAAATAATATATAGTTATATAGTTGGCCTTCTATAAATGCACATACTATGTAATACTCTTTCTAAATGCACACTAATCTTCAGTTTCAAGCATATAGAGTGTTTAATAAAATACTCTTCATAAATGTATATTCTTTCTAAATCTACATGTTTAAAATTTTTGTTTATTAGAAAGTAGAATAGGTCAGGTTTGCAAACTTTGAATATTACTAATAGATCTATTTATGATTTTTCATGATAATTAATATATAATTTTTAAATAACTTATTATTTTAATATTATTAGAAATGAAAAGAACTTTAAGAAGTTTATAAATTAATAATGCATGTAAAAAAAAATTTGTTTTATTTTTAGAAATAGATAAATAATATATAAATTAATATTTATTGTTGCAGATTATTATAAAATTTATGCAATCTGTAATTATACATTATATTTGACAATTTCTATATAATTTGATTATTAAAAAAAAATTATTTTAAAAGAAAGTAACTTTAACTTACCTATCTAAGAAAAAATAAAAAGCAACAATTATTCATTCATCCAAAAAAAACAATAAACAACTATCTATTTAAGAAAAAGCAATAATATTTATCTATTCAAGAAAAAGCAACAGTTACTTATTTATTCAAAAAAAGCAATAATTATTTATTAAAAAAAGCAACAATTATTAATACATTCAAGAAAAAGCAATATTTCACTTACTTAAGAAAAAGTAACACTTATTTACTTATTTAAAAAAGTATATTTTTGTTATTTATTTGTACAAAAAAAATTTTTTAAGTTTTTTTTAATATAATACAAATTTTTTAAAATTTTGATATATCAAAAAAATATTAGATAATAGTTGAATATTTTTAATTAGAAACTTTTTTAGATAATATTCTAAGAAGTTTCATTATTTCACTATATGTTTCAACTTTGCTTATTGCTACAAAAATTTTAAAGTTAATAAAAATAAAATTCTTTATATTAAGTTAGTTGTAAAAAATAGTGTAATTAAGTTTGAAAAATATTATTTAGTTCTCAAATACAATGTAGAAATATGTGCTATAATTTAGAATATTTTTATAATCAAGTAAATTATTATAATTATTATAAAACTTTTTTTATAATTTTAAAAAGTATATTAGAATTATATAAAAAAAGATAAAAATAAATATATTACCTGTATTATTATTACCTTTATTAAAAAAAAGACTAATATAATATCTGTAATATTTTTAAATTCTTGATAGTATATTCAAATTAATTTAATTAACTTTTGCAAATTTACTAAAATAAAATAATAGTTTTTTGTAATTACTTATATATGTTTATATATTTTCTAAATTTTTAATTATAGTTTTAATAAAAAATAAAAAAATAAGAATAGTTGTAACACATCTTTTAAAAATGTTTTCAAAATTCTTAGAACTTTTGTAGTTTTTTAAAATAATAACAATAAAGAATTTGTTACAATTATAATTATAAAAATTTGTAAAATATTAAATATTAAAGTAAATATAATTAGTCTTGGCATCTACAATTATAAAAACAAATCAAGTATTTTAATCAAATTGTAGGTTATAATTTTACTAAGTTATTTTGAGATTCAAATAATCAATTATAAAAAAAAAACTGCATTAATATAATTAATTGATAATCTGCTAGTTAATTAATTTTTTTTTTAATGTTAAAGTTCTTGTCTTTGAGGATTGATGTTTTTATTTAAATATTTAAACATGGATGCCTTTAGAGGCTTTCATATATAGAAGGCTACAACTAGTTACATGTGTATTTTTGGTATCTAATTTAAGTAGTTCACCTATATATTATTATACAAGTTCTATACTAAATGTCATAGCTGCAAGCCAACTACAAGTCTTGCCTATTTAAACTCTCTGTAGTCCAACTTGTGATCATGGTAATACCTTCCAAACTACACCCATTCAAAGTACCTAATGTTTTCAAAACTCTTAAGACTAATTTATTCTTAACAAAAAACTTATTAGAATCTTCTGTATCCTACACACAGCTAATTTAGTTTTATATAATATGCTATAGTTATCTAATATTTGCAGTTATAGAGGTTATTTGTTTATTCTTATATTATATTATTTCTATTTTTATAAAGTTTACTAAAACCTTAGTACCTATTATTGTGATATCTTCTTCATCATCTTTTATTAATCATTACTCAAAACTAACAAGACTTTTCTGATTTTCAATCCAAATAGCCTAATATGGTATATATATATATTCTTTTTTTTTAGTGATTTTGGCAGTTTGGTTGGTCATGTGCTTTTCTATACATCTTGTCATATAGTTTATTTGACTATTTTTTTGAAAGTATTTTATAAGCTTCTATTAGTTTGACTATTATCAAAAGTTCATGCTATTTCTTTATTCAAGAATTTCAAGTAGGCTTTTGACTCTTTAGTTTCTTAGTTTACTATACCTAGTGGTTTTATTGTAGATTTGCACTAAAGTCTTATGTGATACTAGTTATTAATATTTCTTTATATATATGTAATATTATATTTTGTATAGATGTTATAAGCTCTTATTTAAAATAATGTAAATAAGGTTACAAATATATTAATCTAACTAATTGTTAAGAGACAGTTTGCTATAATATAGATTAATTGCCAAATTTTATTATAGGTGGAATTTGAACTTTAAATCTGCCATTTGGAGGATGACAATCTAATCACTACACTAGGATCAGTATTTTCTATTAATATAATTAATATATTTATTATATTGTATTATATAATTTAATAGTTATATAGTATATAATTATATATTACACAAAATACTTTTTGAATAAAAGATATATTATGTTTATGATACTTCTAATATAATTAATTTGTTAAAGTTAAAGTTAGTAAACTTAAAATATATAGAATTAGAATTAACAAACTAATAAAATTAGAATAATTAAATTTTAAAATTAGATTTTAATAAGTTTGAACCTAATAGTTTAACAGTAAAGCTGCTAATTTTTTACAGACTAGATCAACAGTTTGAGTTAGACTAAAGGCAAAATCTTAAAATTTTAATTCTATAAACTAATAAAAGCCAAATTGAATATAAAATTTTGTAAAAAGTTCTAAAATAAAATATAATAATGGATTAAAAATTCTTAGAAAAAGATTAATTCTGTAAAAAGAAGATATTATATATAATAATAACATTACAAAAGGTTTAGCTATATAACAGTATTGTACAAGTAAGACTCTAAAAAACAAAGCAGCATCAATATTTTTGTATCTAACTTACAAAGTACTTAATTAAAAATATAATACTAAATAATTATAACTGAAATGATAAGTAATGTAATATATATAAAGAAAATCTATAATAAAAAATTAGTCTAACTAAAATTAAAACATCTTAAGCAGATGCTTTTAAAGTACTTAACAAATATTCTCTAAGACAATCATATACTACAACTTAGATAATAAGCATCATATCTGTATACAATAAGTTAAGGTTTTAGACCTTCTTGTAATACTAAAGCTAGTAGTATATTAGTATATCAATTATAGTAATATAACTAAAAAAGATATATAGTAAACTGCAAATTAATAATCTGGATCTTAATAAGTTTAGTTGTAATAATAAATTACTAAAAAGTACATAAGACTGTATACACAAATTGGTAACAAAAAGAGTAAGAAATTGCTAAAGTTAACTAATTTAAGAAAAGAAAAAATTCTAGATTATACACTTACTAACTATAATTACTAAATGCCAAGACTATCATCTTAGATTTCTTCCAATCTTTCTATGCTTAAAATATATAATAATAATACAAAAACTAAATAAAGTATAAATTATAATTTGGTATTATAAAAAAAAATTGATTTTAGATTTTTTTTATTAGATTTTAAAATTATAATACTAAATATTTATTTATTTTTTTTACAAAAACTGTTACTATTATTAAAACTATCACTATTGCCAAAATTGTTATTAAAGTTAAAATTATTATTATTAAAACTATTCCTATTTAGATTATTATTTTTAAACTATTACTTAATCTGTTAAGTTAAAAGCTATAAAAGTACATCTTTTATAAATATTAAAACTCTAAAAAATTAGTAAATAAATTATTTAAAAAATATTATATAAGGATTTATTAACAAAAAAATGTATATAAAAGATGGTAATCTTGATGTAGTAGTTGGGTTGTCATTTTTCAAGTAGTAAGTCTAAAGTTCAAATTCTACTTATAATAAAATTTGAAAATTAATCTGTATTATAGTAACTGATTAGTTGAATTGAAGAGATGATCTATAATTTTAGAGATACTATCTTAAATAGAAGCTTAAAGCATTTATGTAAAATATAACATTATATATATATAAAGGAATATTAAATAACTAGAGTTATATAAGACTTTAGTGCAAATCTATGATAAGATCATAAAGTGCATAATACTAAGAAACTGAAGTATAAAAACCTACTTAAAAATTTTAAGTAAAAAGATAACATGAACTTTTAATAATACTACTAGACTAATAGAAGGCTCAGAAGAAACAATTAAGATAAATTGAATAATAATATGTGTAAAAAAGCATATACCAACTAGGCTACTAAGAACCATCAAAGAAAAAAGATTTTAGAATATTATATAAGATTATTTAAATTAGTAGTTTGGAAAGTTTTATAGGTTTAAAAGAACAGCTAAGATGAATTGAACAACAATATGTATAAAAAAGTATATACCAACTAAGTCATCAGAAACTGCCAGAAGAAAAAAATTTTAAAATACTATATTGGGCCATCTGAATTGGTAGTTTAAAAAGTTTTGTGAACTCAAAGTAAAAAATAGAAGTTGAAAAGAAAGATATTGAAGTTCTAGTAAACTTGACAAAAATAAAAATAGTATTTCTTAAACTATATTTTAGACAAATTTGCCTAGAAAATTAAATTGTATTTAGTATTTTTTAAATAAAATAATATTTTATTAATAATATGAAGTATACTTTGCTTATAAAATATATTTTTAAGAATATATTTTATAAACTTTATTATAAAAAAATTTTTAAATATTAATAAATTTTTATGTATTAAAATTTTAAAGATTCTATTTAAAATTTTTACTATTAAAAATTTTTCAAGATTTTTTAAGATTTTATATATTTTTAAAGCTACAAAAAAATTTTATATTTTGTACAAGTCTAAATTTTTATAAGTAAAGTGCAAAAGTAATACTAATAAAAATTATCATTCTTTATATAAACTAACATATTGTATTAAGAACCATAGGCTTAAAATTAATATTTAAAGAGTTCACCAAAATTTGTAAATAATTTTTTTGATTAAAAATTTTTTCTAAATTTGTTTATTTTTAGTTTATAAATAACATATATATTTTTTCTTATAATATAAAATTAAATACTGCTATCCATATATTAAAACTAATTTATATTCAGTGTTAAATTTAGACAATATATAAAACTGGGTTTAAAATATATAACCAGTTCCAAATATTAGTTGTAATATATAAAAAAAATATATTAGCTATAAGTTAGATATAATACAAAAAAAAATAATAAATCAAAAAAACAAACTTTTTCTACTAATCCTTATAACCAAAATCAGAACAGAAAAAAAGTCATAAAAATCATAAAAACTAGCAAGTAAAAGCATAATTGTCAACTAAGCAAGATTAAAGCTTGTAAAGAATTAGATATAGTTTGTTAGAATAGTAGACCAAGTTGATAGCAATATAGTAGCCACCTTTGATTTTTAAAGGAAATTTTGCTTATTGTCAAAAATTTTTGACAGAAAAAAAGAAAAACACAAGAACTCTGTACTGCAGATTATATATATAATGCATAAAACAAGTTAGAGTAAACAGTAAACACAACAAAACAAATAAACAAATGCACAATCTTGCAGATAAACAAATAAATATAGATATAAATAGGAAAACATGTGTTGAATATATACAGTATAGATATAGAAATAATGCAATAAAGTGTGATACAAAAAGTTCAACTAGTATTTACTAAAATTGACTAGTGCAAGAAGTTAGAAAAATATCATAATATATTTAATAAATTTGACAAAATACAAAAAGAATTATTAGACAGTTATAAATCAAGAGTTTTAAGGAAAGATGAAAAATTGGTCAGACTAGTTGGCACTAAAGCAGCCTTAGTCTGTGTGTTTAGAAACTTAATTGAAGTATATAATTACTGTAAGTATATATGAGTAAAAGACAGAGAAAAACCAAAAAAAATAGTATAAAGAAATTAAATAAAGACAAAATGAATAAAGAAATATTGCTAGAGCAAGAATATAGATGCATGAATTATGATATGCTAGAAAAGCAAGCAGAAAAGAGTCCAGTAAAGAAAAATAAAAAAAAGAAAAGAATTAAGTCAAAGAAAAATAATCAGCAGAAGAACACAACTAGTGATATAAAGATAATGAAAAGTATAAGACAAACAAAGAAAAAGTAGTTTACAAAAAAGAAAGAAAACCTAAAGTAATCATGAACATTAAACAAATGCAAAAAGAACAAATAGAAAAACAAAGTTATACAAATAAGACAATAAGAATATATTAAAATAGCAAGTTAGAAGACAATATCTATACAATGTGAACATTCCAGTAAAAGTGAGACCAGTACATGTAAGAAAGTGTCTTCAGTTTTATAGTAGAATTAGGTTTATTTAGTAGAAAAGTTGTAATAATAGTAAAGCTACAATATTTGCTATTGAGTTTAAAAATGAGAACAGAAAATTGATACTTGATCAGACATGATCAGTGTATTTTGAAAAAGACAAAACTTATAAAGTTACTTTAGATACTTTTGTAAAAGAGATATTAGAAAGTAAAGTATCATATAAGACAATAATTAAAAATGTTCCAACAATAGCAATAGAGGTACTATTATTAAGACAACTAAAAGCAGTAAAGATGAAAGTAGTCTATATTTTAGTAAACAGAAACAAAAACCAATAAAAAACTGCATTAGTTTACTTTGAAACAGGAGAAGACTTAATAATAACTACTAATAAGGAGCCATATTATTATAATATGAGATTAGAGTAGTATAATAAAAGAGCATTTAAGAACATTAAAACCAAAAGAGAAGAAAACAAAAATGTAAAGAAATATTTTGTAAATAGAAGTTCACAGTATGAAAAACACTTGAAAAGTTAAGAAAACATTAAGAAAGAGAGTAATAAAGAAAACCAGTAGAGAAAAGATAAGAAAGTTAATAGGAAATATAATGATAATATATAAACAAAAGCAGTTTATGTAAAGGAGTCAAAAAGTGAGCTACAAAACAACTTAGATTAAGTTTACAAAAGAACCTTTATTTGTGAATTTAGTGAGAAGTATAAATTTAAAAAATTAGTTGAAGCTGCTTTAAATAGAATGCAAAAAAAACAAATTACCTGTAGCATATCAACTTATCTATTCCTGAACAAGCTACACAAATCTCAGTCACAAAATATGTTAATTGACATAATCATAACCTTATTCCTAAAACCCGAAATTTTGAAGTAAAATACTGAATATTGTCTAAAGAGGCACTTGATGAAATAAATATAATGACAAAGTACACCAATTTGTCACTCAGAGTGCAAAAAAAGTCTTCTAAAAACACAATTTCCTGATCTGAATTTTCAAGATCAAGATTTAGTAAATGCAATACAAAAAGCAAAAGGCACCACCAAAATTAGTAATGATGCATCAATTTTACTTACTTCTCTAATGCAAAAAAAGCTAGAGAATCTATGCTAGATTGTTGATTTTGAACTAGATAAAGATAATTGCCTAATTCATCTTCTTTGGATGTCTCTAAGACAGGTTAATCTTTGACTTAGATATTATGATGTTGTTATTAATAACAATATAGCTTGAACAAATCAATATTAAATCCTATTAGGAATTTTCATAATAATTAACAACAAGTGTATAACTCATCTCACCTGCCAAGTATTAATAAGTAATGAAACTGTTGATACACATATTTGGATACTTGAAAATATCAGAAAAGCTGTAGAAAAAGTTTCATTTGTTATGTTTACAGATGGTGATCCTGCACTTGATACTGCAATTTTTATTGTTTTTTCTGAAACATATTTAGCCTATTGTATTTTTTATATAGTATAAAACTTACCTAAAAATCTAAAAGCAAAGTTGAGTGTTAATTGGGATAATTTTATCAAATGGTTTTATGAATATCATAACAACTTGTGTGAACTACTGTTTAAAAAAAGATGGAACAAATTACTTAATAATTTTCTAATAGCAAAAGATTATCTTTTACATGTATTGAATCTAGGATGTTATTTATGAGCTTAGGCTTATCTTTACAGAATATTCACAGCAGGCATTAAAAGCATAGCAAGAGTTGAAAGTTATAATTAGGTTATCAAGCAACAATTAAAGGCAAACAGTACTCTATACGAACTTGCTGATCAGCTTAATGCAAGATTAAAAGAAGAAGTACAATAGAGTCAGTTTCATAATTACAAACAAGCCATTGTGATGAATACCATTTTTATTACTAGGCAAGATTTGTTTACCGAAATAATAAAAGTTGCTAATGAATATCTTACTAAACCTATTACTAATGCAATTAAAATAGAAAAGTCTTAGTTCCTATTTATTAGTGCAAACAAGATAGAGCCTACTATTAAAAAATTACATCATAAGCAGATAATGGTTATAATGTTAAATTAAATGTTAAATTAGAATTTAAAATTAACTAATAAAGTAGTATACTTTGTATTATATAGAAAAATAATCAACTAGCATCTGATAGATTTCTCAAAAACCAATATAATGCACATCTTATTATGCTTCAAATGATTGTTGATGAAGTAAAATAAGAAGAAGTATTAGAAATATGAAAAGTTATAGACATGCAAAGTGAAAAATGATAACATGTATATTTTGTTGTCATTGCCAACATAATATCTTTTTTATGTTTATGTCTAATGTCTATCTCAAAAGGGATCATATGCTGCCATTATTTCCATGTTATGATTCACTCAAAAATTGTAGCATTCCATATTAGCATGATATCTCAAAGATAATATAAAGAACATCATCAAGATGGGCCAATTCCAGAAAGAAACAATGCAATGTTTAGTTATAAAATAGGCATTTTTAATGACAAAAAAATCATATCAATACACAAACCTGCTATGATCCTGACAACTGTTATCATGATTAAAAAATCTATTTATAAAAGAAATTTGTACGAAAAGCCACCTTATTTGCAGTTAAACAAGACGATAATAAAATTATTGCTTACCTTCAAGCCTATATCAATCGAACCATAATCATTATGATGTAAATGAAAGATCTACAACTGAAAAAGTATTTAATAATGCTTTGCAAATTCAAACAAGTGAAACCAGTAATTAATCTGATCAAGCAAAGGAATCAAAATCTGAACAAAACCAAGACATAAACAAAACTAATCTTGAAAATGTAAAGAATCTGAATAGAGTTCTTACTAAAGAATAACCATCCAAACAATGTTATATTAGCAGTGTCAAAAAAGAGCAAGGATACTGAGGAGGATCTAAAAGTAAAGGGTCATATAAATGCCACATTTGTAATGGTATGGACCATAATGCAGTATTTCACAAAAATAAAGGTAATAATAATATTACAGAAAAGAGTAAAGGAGGTAGAAATAGAGATAGAGATATAGAACAAACAGTAACATAGCTTGTCTCTTTTAGATTAGTACAGCAGCAAATATAATACAGTAATAAATTACATGTATTATATATAATGAAGGCAATACTACTCAAGATCATTAGAGTTAGGGTTATAAAATAAGCTATTACTGTATGTAGTAAAATTTTATGCAGAGTATAAATAAAATTCATTCCAATTTTTGCAAATAATATATGTAATATATAACTGATCATTTTATTTAACAAGCATTATGCAATGTGATATTTTATCATTTATATTATCTGTTAAATTATTGTCTGTATTCTACAACTAATAATTGCTAAAATGTCACATTATGTAATGCTTGTTAAATAATGATTTGTTGAAGTAGGCTGCATTAATAAAAAGTTATTATTACATAAAAAACATATTTCGAATATATATAATTTTACTTATCAGTTATGTACATTTATCATTATAATACATTTGATTTTGTACTATGTTTGTAATTAAACTGATTGGATACTTCAAGAAACTATGTATTGGAAAATTTTTGTGGGCTATTAAAGTTAGATTTAGTGTTAGAAAAAATAAATACTGTATATATATATTAGTAATTTATTTCTATATTTAATATCAGATATTAATATACTGCATATATATATATCAAAAAAAATTATAATTTTATACAATATATAATATATAAGCATATTGCATCTGGGGGCTAGATCTAAATATTATGCAGAAGTGCGAGATCTAGATTTATCTTTCTTATATTATATGAAATATATCCAAAAGATGTGACAACCTAGTGAAGTAGTCAGTTATCAATTCTTTAAGTGGTAAGTTAGATGTTCAAATTCTATTGACAGCAAAAATTTAGATAATTATCTATGTAATATTTATACTATCACAACCGTTACTAATAAGTAGATTAGAATATCTGTAATAACAGTTATATCAGCATGACTGACAGATTATTTTATAACAACAGCTCAAACTACTAAGAAAAAAATCAAGCAAAAAAAAACTAGCAAAATGGTTTAAAAGAATCAAAGAAACTATACTAAAAAACAAGAGCAGTAGACAACTCAAACCAGAATTTATATTATCAGAAAGGAATAAAAAGTTATTACTACAGACCACTTTAAACAGATGCTTAAATAATAACAGAAAAAAAAAAAGGATTGTACTAAAGATGTCATGAATAAAAAAAGAAAAAAATCTAATAATTAGAAAAATAGTTGCAAACATACCCAAAAAAGTGCTTACAGAACATTAGAAAACAAAACAGGCCAGTTTTTGGAAAAATATAATAATTGCAACCTAGACCAAATTGAAGAACAGAAAAGTTGTAAAAAATAGAATAATAGAGAAGATATCCAAGGCTCTCTGTTAAGACTTATTAGTAAAAAAGAAGTGCCCAAACTCGAAATAGAGCAAGAAATGATAAGAAAATTAGAATACAATAAGTCAATTAAGCTAGGCAAACATGAAAGCCCTGTCAAAAAAATAGTATATAAAGATTTAGACATAGAGCTTATAAAAAAGCAACAACTTAGTCAAGTACTTAAAAAAAAGCTAGTTTATAAAAAACAAAGAAACAAACTAGAACACAATAAGAAGCTGATTTTTTTATATAGATGGATTATTCAAAAAAACATTAATAGAAAACTCAATAAAGAGTGATCACATGAGAGTAAGGTGGGTGGAAGTAAAATCAAAGTTGCTTGTGATTTGGTATGTGCTACTAATAACACTAAAAAAAAAAAAAGTCAAGATTTATACTGATAGTGTAGTAGCAATAGCAGGCCTTGACAAAAAAAAAAGTTAAAGTCAAGCAAATATTGAATTAAAGAAAAGAATTATAACCTTAAAAGAAATATACTAAAGTTACTTAGTTTAAAGGAATTAGAATTAAATTTAGTTAAAATAAAAGAACATAGTTGTAACAAATGGAACAATAAGACAAATAAATTAGCAAAAGAGAAAGGCAAAATAGATAATTTTGATAGAATAATAGAGGTGCTACCTTTAAATTCAAATGTTTCACTCTGCTAAGAGAGTTTAGTAATCAAAAGCCTGACAAAAAAGTTTATCAAAAATGTATTAGAACTTAAAATTGGAGCAGAATAAAGATTTACATCATCAATTCAAAAAACAGAACCTACTTCAGAAAAAAAAAAATATGACTGGTCAACATTATGGCAAAACATTAAGGGTCAAAATAAAACAAAATGTACAAGTATGAAGAGAAACAGAAAGTTAGCAAAATTAATTAAATGTGTAAATGAAAAGCTACCAGTACTCAAGACCTTGGTACAAAGATAACCAGATTTATACAAAAACACAATTTGTATACTATGTAATAAAAATTACAAAGAGAATTAAAACCATCTAGTTATATGCAATAAACATGAAAAAGGATGGAACTGTACAAAAAATATAGTAATCAATTTGGCATGAACAGTACTTGCAAAAAAAACCCAGAGAAAGACAAGTAAAGAAAAACTAAAAAAGCTTTTATGGGAAACTTCAAAAGAAAAAAGATTAGTAAGCAGATCCAAAATCATCAAAGGTCTAATACAAGAAAAAGCCAAACTGATGATACAAGATATTACACAATCTTTAAAAAAAACTAAGAACTTTATAATAGTGTTTACAAATATAGCATGAAATAAGTTTTTTAAAAATATATAAAAAAAACATTATAATACTGTTACTAATTAGAAAAAATTAGTAGAAATTAATACTATAATTAAAAAAAAAGAGAATAACAAAAAACAAAACCTCTTGAGCAAAGAAACACAAAAAGAAAGAAAGGCTACAAATATAGATGAACAAAACTAAGCATAAGAAAGAAAAAAGAGAAGAACCAAGTTCAAATTCAGGAAATATAGCACAATTTAGTTTTTAGTTTTGTAAATAAAAACATAAGACCCTTTGTTTAGGTCTTACTGGCTAGCTTGGTATAGTTCTAGGCCAGGAATAATCTTCTGGCCTGTGTAGCAGACCACTTCTAAGCACTTACAGAAGTAGCCAGGAGATATCAAACCAAAATTTAAGCCAACTTTATACAATATGTATACAAGAATTTTAATAAAGGTGATCAGCAAGACTGCCTAAGTTAAAAAAAAAAAAATTACTACTTATAATATACAAGAACTTAACAACCTACTAAAATTCTAAATTAGTCTTGAATATTGTGCCAAAAATAATTATCACAGTTTTTATTATAGAAATTAAACTAAAAAACTTTTTATTTGCAGAACTTTCTAATCTACTATATAAAATTTATACATTGAACTTCATACCTAAAAACAACTCTTAATATAAAGCCAGCATAAATACTGTGATTATGCTTTACAACTTATTTTAACCTTATATATTTAACATACAAACCATTCTAGACACTGCAATATTATTGATTTTTATCTTTCTGCCAATAACAATCTTTGTACAATTTCATTATACTTATCTTCAAACTATCTAGAACTGCTTAAATCTACACAAAACATAATCATAAATTGGTTAACTCAAGCAAGAAGCAATAATTGGCATACAATTACAATAAGAGATTTTAATGACAACTCCAACTGATGCAAATAATCAACAAATCTATTCTCTTTACTTCAATTCTTATTATTCACAAGCTTATTAAAATTTTATGCTATAACTGAACCTATATAACAAAAGACTCAAATCAAAATCAAATTAACAACATATGAGTTAATTCTGAAATTTTTTTAAATTTTATCCCACCCTTAATCACTAATTCATTTGATATTACAAATAATAATTATAAAATAATTACTACTACTTAAAAGACAAACTTTCAACTAAAAATATCTAAATACAAAAAAAAAAAGAAAAATATATCTTTATTACTAAATAATAACAGACATATGAAAAAACTTTGACAACAAACTAGAAATTAAAATAAAGTTGATAAACTCAATTTATAATATTATAACACTATAATAGCTAAACAATCTTTGAAACAAAAATCAAATTCAATTAAGAAAGTTGCAAATCAAACTATACTAAAAACTTATATCATGTCTAAAAAACATCAAGCCTATTCTCTTAAAGCAACTAAATTACATTTGACACTTAAATTAACAAACAAATATCTTTCTATTTTAAGAAACAACAAACTTTTAATTTTAATTTCTTTTACAATATAACATCTTAACAATTTATTTTAACAAATCTCATTATACTTAAAATTCTCATACCAATTTCAGGACTTAACATTAAACTTTAATAACTTTTAGCAAACTTTAAAACAGCTTAAAAAAACTCTATAGAAAGCTTACAGTTTAGAAATCCAAAATGTATAAAGAGAAATGATAAATTTCTATATACAATAAAAATATAATAACATAGAATCAAACATATTATACATGATAAATAATATTCTTAAACATAACCAAGATTAAGTTTCTTTCAACAAGATTATAACATTAGACAGAATAATTAATAATTTAGAAGAAATAAAACAAGCTACAAAAGAGCACTTTAATAACTAAACTAAACACAATCTAATAAACTTTAAATTTAAACAAGAATAGACTCAGTTTCTTCAACCATTACTACATATTGACTTTAATATATACAATAACTTGTTGTATGTGGTGACTTAGTGAAGTGGATAAGTTGTTAACCCCCAAGTGGTAAGTTGGGAGTTCAAAACCCACTGACTGTGAAAATTTGAAAAACCACCTATGTTACATCAATGTATACAAGCATCTGTGCAATGCTAGAGTTACATAAAGGAATGCAAACTGGCATTGGGCAGTGCAAACACAAGATAAATCCTTGAAACTGGTACTACAGCAATGGCTATCTATCAATCAGTTGGGATCAGTACCTGTAACATGGTCACATCAGATAACTGACAGGTCATGGGGCATCTGTGGCCATATAAATCCATGAACTGAGATAACTGAAGCCTACTTAGGAAGCCTGAGTAGAAAGGTAACACAGATCTTTGACAGTACTACTGTAAAGGCTAAATCTAGAAAATGGATACCAGTGCAGAAGAA